CTGCAGGTACCCTTTGGATTAGCTCTGCTCTAGACCCCATGTGATAAGCTCCCTAGTTTGGTGCTCAAACCACTACTCCATGCTGAGTAAATGTTTTTACACTACTGCTGCCTTTATTGTCATAATCTTGTCACACAGGGTGGGAACCACGTGGCCCTTCTGATGGTGTGGAACGACTTCTAGCAGCCCTGAGCTGCATACCCAAAGATGACAAAAGCTTGGAGTCACAATCCAACATTGACAGGACTGCATGGTGCACAGTTCCATTCTTATAGTATGCTGACTTTAGGCTACCAGTGGTAAGAAGAGGTGAGAGAGTTGAGTCACCTTTACAAACACAAAGAGAGCCTTCTCAGTGGCTGCTCTCAAATTATGGAATTTCCTCCCAAGGGAGGCTTGCTTGGCCTCTTTTCTGCTACCTTTTTCACCAGCAGGCCTGGGGTGTTCTTCATCAGATGTTACAATTTTTTTGGGGGGGGGTTAGAAGACAAAAGTTCAAAAATAATAATAGCCACCTGTTAAAGCCATAGGATCTGTAGTTACTGGAGTCCCAAATCTGAGATTTTCTTTTAAGGGAAGACAGACATGTAATGAATAGCTAAATAAAGTAAATAAGGAAGGAAGGAAGGAAGGAAGGAAGGAAGGAAGGAAGGAAGGAAGGAAGGAAGGAATAAAGCCACTTCAGTAATGGATTCCTGTGCATGTTTCTCAGAAGTAGGAACATCTGCATTAATATGGTCAAGACTTATTAATATTTTGTGAAAAGAAGTGTCTCAGTCTGCTTTTTCATGGATTAGAAACACACAAAAATTGTCCAGATTTTTTAAACAAATAATAAATTAAGGGATTTGGAGGGCTTTCAGAAACATAAAAGTGGGGATCTAAAGCCATACAAGGTGGCAGCCACCAGATCATCCCAGGGCAATGCATGCCACAATTCATCTGCCCTGAATTGCTTACCATTCAACAGTTTGTTTTGTGCCAAGCCTTCTCCAAATCCCTCATTGTGGCATTTTTCATTTATAGAAGATGCAATGAAGAGCTTTGCTAATTACACCTGAACTGCCAAGAAAGTGAAGAAATAAATCAACCCAGAAACTGCTTGGCTGTACCTTCCAAAGTCCTAGGCCATGCTCTGAAGGCACAACTATCTTAAAATTCAGCTGGTCTTATCTGTGCCAGGAATAAAGGAAAGTGCTTTGTACAGTGAGACAGACCATTGGTCTGTCATTGAATGGATATACTGACAGTCAGTGGCTCTCTTGAAGTATTAAAGATGAGTCCTTTCTAGACCTATGTCTAAAAATTTGGCCCTCCAGAAGTTGTTGGACTGCAACTCCCATCATCCCTAGCCAGCATAAGCAATAGTGAGGGATGTTGGGGATGCAACATAATAATGTCTACTGGGTTGTACTTTGTCCATCTAAGACTGGACATTAGACCTTTGGCAGGCAAAGCATATCCTCTACCCAAGTGCCCCTTCTTCATAAAATAATTTATTTTTTTTCCTGACAATTGATCCTGGAACCTTCTGCACACAAGACATGCGTTTTGCCACAAAGCTCAGAGATACACAGCTGCTGTGGGAGAACTCTATATACCAAAGCTCAGAGCTACACAGCTGCTGTGGGAGAACTCTATATACATAACGTTCAGTTCCATGAACGAAAGGTGAGATATCATATAATGATCCCATAGTGTGACAATGTGTATATATCAGTAGAAAGAGGAGCGGTGTACATTTGTAAAATACATTTGCTTGTCAGTCGCTATGTGGGTTGCAAACATCTTTTTAAGGACAGGTTTAAGGACAAACATATTAGAACTAGAGGGAAGAAAAAGAGCACTAAAAATAATGTATTCAAAGACATAGCTATATTAGTCTGGAAAATCAGTGTGCAAAGGGATCTTGTAGTACCTTTGAGACCTTTGAAAGAAAGAAACTGAGCATTGAAAGAAACTGTCATGAGCTTTGATAGACTTGTGTCTACTTCTCCATGCACCTGAGAAAGTAGACTCAACAGTGATGCCCCTGAGGTTGGTGTCACCCAGTGTGTGTGGGCGAATTGCCTTGCCTGCCCACCACCCAGACTGCTGCAGGGCCCCCAAAACACCAAGAAAGGCCTTCAGGGTCCCCCCAACAGCCGCCACTACTGAGGGAGGCAGTGCTACAACCTCCACAAGGCCCATTTAGATCCTGTGTGGGTGCTGAGCAAGAAGGAAAGTGCTCTTCCTCACTCATCCAGTAGCTGTGCCAGTCCCTCCAGGTCAGTGGTTCTCAAACTTTGGTCCTCCAGATGTTTTGGACTTCACCTCCCAGAATCCCCAATACAGAGCTGTTAATTAAAGAATTGCTGTTGTTGTTGTTGTTGACAGAATAATTCTGTTATTTATGCCATGAAATCGACTCCATTTCATTACAATCCTATTCTAGAATTTTCTTCATAATGTTTATTCAAATTGCCTTCCTCTAAGGCTGAAAGAGTTTGACTTACTCCTGGTCTCCCAGAATCCTAGACTAATCCTGTTACCACTACATTACACTGATTCTCCAGCATAACTCTGTTATTGCTGTGTGGTTTGAAGTCATTTCCAACATATGGCAACCTCAAGGTGAACCTATCATGGGTTTTCTTGGCAAGGTTTCTTCAGGGGTATTTGCCTTTGCCTTTGCTTTCCTCTGAGGCTGAGAGAGTGTGACTTGTCCAGTGGGTTTCCAAGGATGAGTGAGGATGCAAATCCTGATATCCAGAATTAAGAGTCCAACACTCAAACCACAACACTGGTGGCATAATTCTACCTATCACTATTACTAAGTGATCTGGGTATTCGGCAGAAAATTAGTATTGTTAATAGCTATTTATTATGCCTTCTTACGATGTGGCCAAAGTATGACAACCTCAGTTTAGTCATCTTGGCTTCCAAGTAGAGTTCAGGCTTGATCTGATCTAGGACTCATTTGTTTATCTTTTTTTGGACATCCACAATATCTCCAGTACTCTTCTCCAGGACCACATCTCAAATTAGTTTATTTTCTTCCTGTCAGATTTCTTCACCATCTAGCTCTCACAGCTGTCTATGGTGACACAGAATACAATGACTTGCACAATTCTCACTTTAGTGCTCTTCTGTATGTCTTCACACTTTTGGATCCTCTCTAGTTCCTTCGTGGATGCCTTTCCCATTCCTAGCCTTCTTCTGATTTCTTGACTGCAATCCTCATTCTTATCAATGTTTGATGAAATGTTTGCCCTCTCCTGTAGACTGAGGCAAAAGCAAACTGTTGCAATCTTGCCTAATTTATCTACTCTTCTTGATTAGTAACTTCTGTCATCTTGACCACATTCTAATGCTGTTTGGTCTCATGTGTCCTGGTTTTCATCTGTGAAAAGTTGCAGGGTATAGAATAGATATTGTTGCAGGTCCCACTTATCCTTATCTTAAGCCTTCTTTCCTCTTAAACAGGCTGGCTAAGTTACAAATGCAGGACAAGTTTTGCCCTACATCAGGGTGTCCCCAAGTGGCAATTATTGTTACACTGAAATTAATGGTAGCTATACATTTATGTGTAGAGGGAGAGGAAAGGAACAGGCATCCAGATACACCAACTGACTGTGGAGCCAAAAGAATGCATGACCGAGACTACATCTACGTACATCTACATCTACTGCAGAATTAATGCAATTTGACCCTGCTTTGACTAGCACGGTGCAAATGCTATGGAATCCTGCGATTTGTAGTTTAGTGAGATATTTAACCTTCTATTTTAGAGACTTCTAGTGCCACAACAAACTACAAATTCCAGGATTCCATGGGATGGAGCCATAACAGTTAAACTGGTGTCAAACTGTATTAAATCTGCAGTGTGACAACAGCCTAAGCTTCCATCACTGTTGCAGTTGTAAATGCAAGTAAATGGAAGCAGTGGCATCAGTAGGGGGTGCAGGGGATGGGGTCTGCACTGGGTGACACCCCAGAAGAGGAGTGACACCCAGACAAGCACCCCCAACTCTCTGCTTGGCGCTGTTTTACTTGCGAGTAAAGTGGTGCCAGGCAGAGAGGAAGAAGGTGGGCTGGGAAACCACCTTATGGAAGCACTGACATTTGCAGTTCAGGTCAAGGGCAGTGGTAGCAAGTTAAAATTTACACTCGGTCAAAATAATATATCACTTTGATGGTGATCTGCCCCCCACTGTGTGACCAATATTTTCTAGGAATTACTCCAGTTCAAGCAACAAGCAGCATGGACTATCAGTGTGCAGAGGGAAG